TCAGTTTCCCAGCGGCAAAACTCTTTAATTTAGATCTCAAGGATTTGGAGCATAAGAGGATTAAATATGTAATTACATAAGTCCTTTTTCTGTCATCTGTAAGGATGAAAGAAACTTGAGGAAACTGTGCAGTGAGATGGAGGAAAATTTGGAGGCGGCACACAAATACAGAGCAGAGAATAGTGTAAGTAACCTTTCACAGTGCAGTCACTGCCCACAGACATAATACTGACTATATTTTCATACACATTTTTAGTATGATGGATCATAGATGGATACATTTCTGTGGTTGTCGATGCTATTGTTAGATTGTTGTATAATAACTAACTAGCCTTTGCTCTGTTGTGTGAAACAGGAGTTGCGTCGAGAAGTTGCTGATTTGCGTCGGCTGGAACAGCAGGCACAGGTGGAGGCTCAGGTCTTGAGGGAGGAGCTTAACCGAACAGGTGTCCAATCAGCAGCCAGTGCCAAAGCATTAGATGAAAAAATCAAACTGCTCAGAGAGGTATGGCAGTCCATCCAGTTTTTCCTCTGTAACTGGCATTAAACAATATTGTTAAATAGTGTATACCCCCTGACTCTCAAACTGTCCAAAACATATTCTCGTGATCATAAAAAAAACAAAATCAGATGTTAGTAAGTTCACTATTTTAAGCAGTTCCCATTTAGACATTTCATAAACTTTTTTAGATTTAAGTGTATTTTTAAAACTTAAAAAAAAAATGTAATCAATGCCACACATACACACATTCTGTTCTTAGGTTGAGAAGCTCAAGGCAAATTTAATGGAAACCGAGGAAAATCGTGCAAAGGTCTTGGAGAGGGCAAAAAGACATGTAAGTCTTACCTGCATTATTATTATTGTTATAGTTGTACACAGTTTTCCTATAGCAATTGACCCTTCGCAAAGGAGCTTGATTGACGGGTGATTTGACCAATCATAACTCCGAACCTGTCATTTTGTCTGACAAACAAAGCAGACAGGAGAGTAGATTAACTTTGGTGGACTTGAACTTGAAAATGGTGTGTACTGACGTCATTCCGTAGTTGAAATAAAATACCTTCTGCTGTTCATTAATGTTTATTTCGTGCTTTAACTAGTAAATATGAAAAGATGATCAGTTCACGTGCTGCATGAACTGCTATGTCTGACATGGCTTGTAACTAGGAGTATTGTAACTAAAGAGGGCGGTTCTTTGCTAAGAGTCAATTGTCAAAATCATGTCTTTAAGGACTGTAAGTGATAAGACAAAATACTTGTGCACATTTAATATCACTGTGTAGTATTTTGATGTTATTTTGAATTAAATTAAATATGGTTCTGTAGCAAAGGGTCCATGCTATGAACCAGAGTAAACTGGAGCGAGAACTACATCTGCTTGATGATATGATTGAAAGAGTAAGACAGGTGAGAGGAACAATAAAAAAAAAGTATATTTAATATACTGTATGTATTGGAGAAATATTAACAAATGTACTGTTTTCTTCCATTCACAGACATTGTCTTCTATTCCTGATCTTGTCAAGAGCTGTCCTGAACTACAAAATCTTGTAAAATTTCTTGAATGAGTTACTGAAAATTCAGAAATGAAATTGTTTAATTTTTAAATGCATAATTGTTAAATAAACAGTTGTCTTGATTTCTTCTCAAATATGTTCTTATTTAAAGGAGACATATTATGCCCTTTTACAATATGTAATGTAAGTCTCTGGTGTCCCCAGAATGTGTCTGTGAAGTTTCAGCTCAAAATACTCCACAGATAAGTTATTATATAATTTTGAAAATGCCTATTTTGAGTGGACGCAGAAACGCGCTGTTTTTCGGGCCTGTTTCTTTAAATGCAAATGAGCTGCTGCTCCCCACCCCCTTTTCCAGAATAGAGCTGGGCCATTACAGCTAGGACCTGCTAAAAACATCTGTTTTGGTTCTGAATTCATGAGTTTTAAACCCTATAAGTTTAAACTTCTGATATACGGTTTTCTGATAGCACACATCTGAAGCACATGGAGAGAAAGCGGCTGTCACAGCATGTGAGTACTAAACTAAGTTCTCATTCACACACAGGTTTACGTTTAATAACATGAGTTACAAAAACAGTCGGTTATGTCTGTGAATGTAAACAGCTGGAAAATAAATTGCAAGTTTATTTTAGATCTGTGTGGCAGCAGCAATATACAGTAGCCTAAATAAATCAATAAATCCACTGCTCTCTTGTCTCCTCTGAGGCTGGGACTCTAAATAGTGTTCTGTGCTCGTATGTGCAGCCAAAGACAGAACAGTTAGCATGTTTTGCTCAAACTTTCGCCATGGCATTAGAACCGGTACACCGTTGTCGCTTGTGAAAGCTGCTGCTCCCCACCCCCTTTTCCAGAATAGAGCTGGGCCATTACAGCTAGGACCTGCTAAAAACATCTGTTTTGGTTCTGAATTCATGAGTTTTAAACCCTATAAGTTTAAACTTCTGATATACGGTTTTCTGATAGCACACATCTGAAGCACACGGAGAGAAAGCGGCTGTCACAGCATGTGAGTACTAAACTAAGTTCTCATTCACACACAGGTTTACGTTTAATAACATGAGTTACAAAAACAGTCGGTTATGTCTGTGAATGTAAACAGCTGGAAAATAAATTGCAAGTTTATTTTAGATCTGTGTGGCAGCAGCAATATACAGTAGCCTAAATAAATCAATAAATCCACTGCTCTCTTGTCTCCTCTGAGGCTGGGACTCTAAATAGTGTTCTGTGCTCGTATGTGCAGCCAAAGACAGAACAGTTAGCATGTTTTGCTCAAACTTTCGCCATGGCATTAGAACTGGTACACCGTTGTCGCTTGCGAAATCAAATGACGGCGCCATGGGTGTAAACTTACAGATTAAGGGGCGGTAATATTATAATGAGATCCCTTTTAATTTGAAGGTCTTTACATGTATTAGACTATTAGAATTGTTATCAGGACATCAGTAACATTTGTGTTTCAGTGTTTTAAATTCTTGTATTACAGATTGGATTTAAACAGAAACTCTTGATTGAATGCTTTTTTTTTGTTTACTCATAGTCTGAATCATATATATAAAGGCTGATTGATGAGCAGATAGTCCAGTAATTAATCATAGTTATTCTAATCATGCCAGTGCTTGTGAAAACCTGGTGAACGATGTGATGTTTTAATCCACCCATTCAAGCACAAGAATAATCTTCAGACATTCTGTCTCGTGAAGTTGTAGGTCAATCAGCTCATTTTGTAAGATTCTTTTTCATTTAATTTTGTAAGTGATAAATTAGTGTATGGATATGCTTTGTTTAAAAAAAATTGTCTTAATTTGAAGGTCTTTACATGCTGACATGCACTGTGAGCTGTAAGGTCTTATATAGACAGGTGTGTGGCTTTCCTAATCAAGTCCAATCAGTATAATCAAACACAGCTGGACTCAAATGAAGGTGTAGAACCATCTCAAGGATGATCAGAAGAAATGGACAGCCCCTGAGTTAAATATATGAGTGTCACAGCAAAGGGTCTGAATACTTAGGACCATGTGATATTTCAGTTTTTCTTTTTTAATAAATCTGCAAAAATGTCAACAATTCTGTGTTTTTCTGTCAATATGGGGTGCTGTGTTTACAATAATGAGGAAATAAAATGAACTTAAATGATTTTAGCAAATGGCTGCAATATAACAAAGAGTGAAAAATTTAAGGGGGTCTGAATACTTTCCGTACCCACTGTATATATATATGAATTACCTCCTTATATTAAATACCTCAAAATACCTTGGTTTCAGATCCTTGTTCAGATACTGCGAAGTGATTTTAAAGTAGCTTTATATTTTTAACCTGTTGTTATAGTTTATCATTACCTACTCTAAATTATTCTCCAATATTGACATCACTATTGTTTTCTTTTCTTGTAACAGCACACATCTGGTGTATATTAATAAGTATAAATGTCTATTTAAAATCACCCTTTTTAAAAAGTTGGAGCGTGACAGGACATAATTAATGGCCAGTGCCATTGAAACACAAGCTATTGTGCGGAAATGGAAGACTTAGTCTAATAAAGCTCAGCAAAGATAAAGGGCATAAAAAGTTGAAAAAGTTACAAATTAAATATTTTACCCTATTTGTCTTGCAACCCTTTTTGCGCTTATTATGACCATTTTGTTGTCAATTATTTATGAGAAGTGTAAACTTAAAAATAGCATGGATGACTGATAATTTGCGTCTAACTGCATACTAAAATATTTTTTTACCTATTTGACTGAAAGCTTACCACAAAAGAATGTATACATCAATTTCTTAATATACATTTTTTAAATAAATGTCAGCTTTCATAATTTTAGTGCTAAATAATAACGGCTGATTGTTCTTTCAAAGTATATAATATTAATTTGTAATATATGTGTTTTCAATAAGAGAAAAGGGAGAAAAAATATTATTTGGCATGACCTCTTAGAAATAAATGTCATTAAAATAAGTGAAATCAGTTAACATTTCTGTAAATTTAGGGTTCTGCTGAAATGGATTCTTGCTTTATATATTCACCATTAAATTAAAATGTTAAATGATTTCTCAGAACTCTTCATTCTCTAAAGGATATAGAAACACAGCCTCTTTTAGAAATATTTTTATATCACTGAATTAAGTAAATGCAGTACCTTTTTTCAATGAAAAGTAAATTATAAGAACAATTATAAGTAAAGCGTATACAAAGCATATGAACACATTTCACTCAAATAATAAAAAAAAGAAAGAAAAGAAAAGTAAACATTTGTTTTTAACTTGTTTTTACAATGTTGTAATAGGAAAAGGCTGTACATGCGTAAATTGAGATTATTAACATTTCCATTTACCCAACTGATGGACTCACAATAAAACAATAACATCAGTTTAAATATCACAGTTGTTTTTCACAATGATTTTCATATTTACTAAAATAGTCTCTCCAAAGGTACTTGTGCGCCCACGTTCTTGCAATGGAAAATAATCATCCATGAACTTGTTTAGGTGGCAGTCACAAACCTGTCCATGTTACCCGAGTAAGCCGGATGCCTGATGTAGGCTCCTGAGCTTCCTACTGGACCAGAATTATTGTACTGAACAAAAGAGCCCAGCTGTGCAGGGGAGGTTCTACCATAGGGGTCCCCCACAGCATCACCAGCAATGGGAGACAAACTGGAGATAGCCACCCTCCCTGTTGGCCCGTAGGCCTGGGTGCTGCCTTGTGGATACGATACCTGAGTCTGTCCGTGTCCTGGGCTGGAGTAGGCAAAGGCCATGTTGTTTGAGGAGCTTGAGCAACACGACAGCACTGTCTCCCCGCTGCAGGACTGATGCTGGAAGCCCGGTACTCCCAAACTGCAGGAGCCACTCTCAGGACTGAAACTGCGACAAGACTGCTGAGGCATCATCTCTGCACTTTGGCCCATCCTGCCAGGTGACCCAATGAGAGAGTTGATTCTGAAGACCCTGGACTGACCAGCACTGAAGCTAGGAGAGGAGGACTGGTAGTAGGCAGAAGGCAGCTGTTGTGCATATGGCGGACTCGCGGCCATGTTGGAGTAGACTGAGTTGGCGTAGGCTGAGCGTGCAATCTGGACTGGGGAGAAGACGGGAGACTCATGAACGTATGATGAATACGTAGTGAAGTCGCTGCGTTTGAACCGTTTTCGTCGTCGCAGAAAGCTTCCGCTCTCAAACATGTCTTCGGCATTGGGGTCCAGTGCCCAATAGTTGCCTTTTCCGGGTCTACCGGGCTCTCGGGGGATCTTGATGAAACAGTCGTTGAGCGTCAAATTATGGCGGATGGAATTCTGCCATTTCTTGGAGTTGTCTCTATAGAAAGGAAACCTCTCTGTGATGAACTTGTAGATCCCTCCCAGAGTGAGTTTGCGGTCGGGCGAGTTGGCAATGGCCATGGAGATCAGGGCGATGTAGCTGTATGGTGGTTTGCCTCGCTGAAGGGGCCTCTTCCTCCGGCGTCCTCTTTGCGGCTCTGCTCTCTGACTGTCATTCACTGGAAGAGTGGTTTCAGAGGGAGAATCGCTCTCCACTTTAACCACAGGCATGACTCTAGTTAGAATGACTCCCAACGGTAGCAGAGCTTGGAAATCACGACAGTCTGACTGTCACGGTTTTGGTTCACTTGGTTCTTTGTCAGGTGCAACAGACTTTGTTCTTTGCTTGCTGGAAATATTCTGATGAAAAAATACCAGTCATAATGCAGACCTTAAAAGCCCCAACCAGAAATATCAGTTCCTTTGCACTTCATCTGGAACGTCAGGTGTGTCCTTGCACTGTGATCCCCTAAATTCTAAACAATTCTTGCAGTACCAAGTTTAAAAAATGGAAGCACTCACATAAAGAGCCTTATTTGATGGGAGTCTTCGTAATGTTGAAGAGAGAAGTGAGCAGTCAATAACTGGCTGTGTTAACCAAGGAACACACCACCTGAAGAGTTATTAGCCCCACCTCCTCAAGCAGGTTATCCGTCACGTGGCTAAAAGCACATGCCTCTGCAGATCTGTATATCTTTAAGTGCTCTCTCAATTTTAAAAATGTATTTACTTTACTTGTTTGGGAACAAGAACATTAAACGCACAGATGTCCTTTCAGAGCCGACAAATAAATCAGTTTCTTCTGTATGCAAAAATTTTGAATTCTATGGAATGGTGTAGTCCATGAGTGTATTTTCCACTCTCAGAAATAAAGGTACAAAAGCTGTCACTGGGGCGGTACCTTTTCAAAAGGTACATGTTTGTACCTAAAGGGTCCATTTTGGTACCTTAAAGGTACATATTAGTACTTAAAGTGTACATATTAGAACCTAATAGGAACAAAAGGGTACTGTTTGACTAATCCTGGTTTTGTTTAATCTGGAGATTAGTGACACCCCCCCCCCCCCCCCCCCCACCAAGCAAGATCTTATTTCTAATATATTCTT